GTCCCTCCTGCCTTTAGAGACCAGCTGAAGATCTGACACATTGAACGCTAGTGACCCAAGACCAGAAAAACTGTGGGTTGACATCAAGAACATCATCCATGAAGATAGCAAAAGGTCATTAAAAAGACAGGAAAGGAAGACAAGACCAAAATGGATATAGAAGAGACTCAGAAACTTGCTCTCAAATGGAGAGTACTTAGAGTGAATGGAAGAAATAATGAAACACCAGTGCTGAATGGAAGATTTCAAAGGGTGGCTCAAGAAGACAAAGTATTATAACAAAACGTGCAAAGACAGGGAGTTAGAAAGCAAAAGGCTGAAGAACATGGTTGGCACTTCTCAAACTGAAAGAACTGAAGGAAAACTCAAACCCTGAGTTCCCATATTGTTATATATGGGGTCATGAGCAGTTGGAACCAACTTGACAGTACCTAACGACAACAAATCTAGGCTACGAGGATCTCCAAAACCAGCCGCTGCACCCACGGCGGACAGGTTTCAGCGGAGCTTCCAGATGAGGAAGACTGGGAAGAAGGCCCTGGGATCTACTTCTTCTGATTTTAATGAAACCCCTGTGGGTCACCTCTGAGCACTGTCCCACAGGGTGCCAGGCGATGAGCCCCCGGCTGGAAGGCAGTCAGGATGCACAGTGGCCCCAACAGTGCACCCGAGCAGACCAAGGTCATGAAGGTGGCACTTGACTGTAAGATGCTCCTTTCTGCTGTATGTGGAGGTCACCCCGAGCGGCAATCAACTCAATGACAACCAATAGCAACATTATGTACAAAGTTCTTCAACACTCAGACATGTTCAGAAACACACCAGGCCTCCTGCAAGGAACGATGGAAGCCAGGGTTCTCAACCCAGTGCACATGAGTGCAGGACCTGCCTCAGATACACCCCACTTTGCAGAAGCTCTAGAAGACAGGAGTGCAGCCTCCCAGCTTCTGTCTCTTTAGGAACAGTTCTAAATCCACGCAGCAGCATGTCAGCGAGAATTCACAGCTCATCGCTGTGGAGTAGGTGGCTGATAATATGAGGATCCATGGGACCCAGGAGCCAGTCAGTGTGTAAGATGAATCTGTATAAAGAATACCAAAATACAATATAATCTACATTCAAGAGAACACTTCACTGTCAGCCTTGTCTTTTCCTCACTCGCACCTGCTGATGGTCCCTACACTCCCTCCATCTGCCCACGTGCCTGAGACCCTGCTCTCACCCTCCACTCAGGATGAACGCTTAGAGACTCACCGAGTCAGGTCTTTCCCTCAGGGTGTGCTCCCTCTGTGGCTGTTAGCTGTGCTGAGTTGTCCTAGCCCAAGGTGACATCCTCCACACTGCAACGAAGCACTGCTCAGTCCTGCGCCATCCCCGGTGTCAGCTGCGGTGATCCATAGGGTTTGCGCTGCATGTTTTTCACAAGTGGACCACTAGGCCTTCCTCTCGTCTGTCTTACTCTGGAAGCCTCATTGAAACATGTTCTGCATCACAGCCACAGACAGTCCTCTACGGACAGGTGGATACTGTGTGAGAGGTGCGCTGGCTGGTAACGACACCCAGGTCTGCCTACAAACTCTAGCACCACGTAGCTCCTCACCTTTCCTTGCTCACATGACACAGCACCACTTCGTCGCACTAAAGTTGCCTGTCCGAGACCCAGTCGTCCTCACCATTTATTGTCTGTTATTATTGTTAGGTGGCGCAGAGCCAGTACCGACACTTAGCGACCCTATGTATGACCAAACAAAATACTGTCCAGTCCTGCTCCGTCCTCACAGCTGTTGCAATGTTTGAGCCCACTGCTGAAGCCACTGTTTTAATCCATCTTGTTGACAGTCTTCTGCCTTTTCACTGACCCTCTACTTCACCAAAGATGATGTACTGCTCCAGGGGCTAGTCCCTCCTGATCACACGTCCAAAGTACACGAGGCAAAGTCTTGCCATCCTTGTTTCTAAGGACCATTCTGGCTGTGCTTCTTCCAAGACTGATTCGCTCCTTCTTCCTGCAGTCCACAGCATTTCACCAGTCTTCACCTACACCATAACTCAAAGGCTTCAGTTCTCCTTTGGTCTGCCTTGTTCACTGTCCAGCTTTCACATGCATTTGAGGTGCATGAAAATACCATGGCTTGAGTCAGGCACACCCAGGTCCTCTAACTGGCATCTTGAAAAAGGTCTTTTGCAACAAGTGTGTCCAGTGCAGCATGTCGTTTGATCCCCTGACTGCTGCTTCCGTGGGGGTTGACTGTGGATCCAAGTAAAATGAACTCCTTGGCAACTTCCATCTTTTCCCCGTTTATCATGATGTTGCTCAGTGGTCCAGCTGTGAGGAGTTGGTTTCCTTGTGTGGAGGTGTCATCCACAGGGAAGGCTGTGGTCTTTGATCTTCATTGGCAAGTGGTTCAGGTCTCCTTCACTGTCAGCGAGCATGGCTGTCATCTGCATTCACACAACGGTAGTGAGTTCCCCTCCAACCTTGATGTTGCTTCTTCTTCAGCTTCTCAGATGATTTGCTCAGAATACAGACTGAATATGTAGGGTTAAAGGATACAGCCCTGATGCACACCTCTTCTGATTTTAAACCATGTGACTCCTGAAGGAGGTGGGGCCAGAGGTAGCTGTGTGGTTCCTTTGCGCCCAGCCCAGCCACATTCCAGAGTCAAAGGTGGCACCATCTTCTGGCTTTGGAATGTTCTCCCAGCGTGACAGCCAGGAAGAGTTGCCGTCCACCCATCCAGGCACGGAGCACAGACCTGCTGGCCCTTCCCTCTCAGTGGCTGGGCTCCTCCTTGGGAGAATGGACAGTGCATTGAGCAGGCAGACTGTCATCTCTATGAGTCAGATGTGGGGAAGGGCTCTGGAGGCTACCCCAGGGCCTCTGGTCACCTGCATCTTCCTGGGCCGTGTGGAGTGACAGGAGCTGCTTCTTGGCACGTAACTGGCTCCAGGGTGAGGGCTGTTTGGTACAGACAACAATGACAATCTCGTTCCCCTTGCATCCAAGGGGAACCACAGACCTCCCCGTCTGCCTGCCCCTGTTGTGAAGGAATCACATCTGTTTTCTGAGCTGCATTTAATGAAGTGGAAACCAGATTAGATGCCTTCCTGCTGTAGGTAACATGTACTTGCATAATAAGGAGACTGAGGTGCCAAAGGGAGTTCATAAACCCCAGGGTGTCTAACTGCATAAACGTGTTGATCTTTGAATGAGTTGGTTGCTGTAACACACAGCCACCATGCGAAGCCTGTATGTTCTCGCTTCTCCAGAGCCCAGCAAGACAGCACTGTGTCTCTGGCCCACATCGGGCTGCATGCTGACCATGTGCCCAGAGTGAGGTTCTGGCTGCAGAATGTCTGTGTAAGATTTATGTAACACAGCAGGGCTTTCTCAACCCTCTCTCTGGGGGCATGGTGGGCCTCTTTCTCTTTCTGAGTGGACTGCAGGGACTTTTGGATCTCTGGTGGGACTGCTTGAGACTTTTCTTAGGATCAAGTGGATTTCACTCAGCCGAAGCTTGCTTCTCGCTACGTGTGCTGTGACCATGTGTCCCATGAGCCTGAGGCCAGTGTGGGTGCCATATGATAGCAGATGTGGGCTCAGTAAGTGGGGGCTTTACTGAGCGGGCTCTGCGGCCAGCCGTCAGCTGTGTCAGAGGCTCGGGGGAGGTCCCCACCCAAGATGTCATGGATGCCTCTCTGAACCCACGGGGCAGGCGCCGGCAGCGCTGGGGCCTGGGCACCAGCATGTGCAGTCTGGGAGCCTCAGTGACACACCCCTCCTTCTTCCTCTCTAGCTGTTTTCTCTGAGACCCTGTGGGCAGTTCTCTGTCATGTGAGCTGACCATGAGTCAGAACTGATTCAATGCCTCCAAACAACAACAGTTTTCTCTGAAGAGCCCTAAATGCTCGGCCGCAGTGTGAAACTGCAGCCCACTCAGCAGCTCCATGGGAGAAGAGGCCTGGGACCGGCTTCTGAGGACATGACAGCCTGGGAAACCCTGGGGGGACGGGTGACTGGTCACACAGGGTCACTGGGAGTGAGAAGTAGCGCAGGGGTGCCCAACAGCACGTCTTCTCTTTACTCACCCTTTCAAGGACTTCTAGAGAAGACGGAAGTGTTACCTCTCCCTCAATTGTCTGCTTCTGAAGCAAGAGAAGCAAACATGCAAAGGCAAAACCTTGGATGGAAAGTCATCTGAGTCTAACTGGAATTGGGGACTTTGCGTCTCTTCTGTGCAGTCACTCCTGAAAGTCTCTGAGACACACCTACAGGATATCCTCCAGTACTCAAGCATTTATAATACTCCAGGAAGTGGTTGTCACTCAAGGTTCTCCTGTTACCCAAAGTCACTCAAAGGTCTCTCTGAATTCCATTCAAACTGAATGACAAACTATGAAGGGGAAGAGAAAACTCATGTCTTTACTCAAAGAGAAGGCAACTGGGAAAGAGAAATTAAGACCAAAAGGGAGATGATGTCAAACAAGAATGTGCCTGTCATCATACTCAATGTTCAAGGCATTAGAACGCCATGTTGAAATGCTTGGTCATTTGTGACCAGGAATTGTTTGTATTCACAAACTACTTAAAAGAAGAATTATGATACTGCACTGTATATACATCCATATTTGTGCCAAAAAAAAGGTGATCCAACAAAACGCAGAAATTATTGAACAGTATCATTATTATCACATGCAAGTAAAATTAAGCTGACAATAAATCAAAAATGTTTCAAGCAGTCCATTGACAGGGAACTGTCATAAATTCAAGTCTCATTCAGAAGAAGATGTGGAATGAAGGGTATCACTGTTGATGTCAGGTATATCTTGGCTGAAAGTAAACAAAACCAGAAAGATGTGTACCTGTGTTTTATTGACTATACAAAGACACTGGATGGCGTGGATCATTAACAAGTGATGGACACTAACACTGTGAAGATTAGGAATTCCAGAACACTTAGGTGTGCTCATGCAGAACCTGTACATAGACCAAGTGGAAGTTGTTTGAACAGAACAAGAAGATACTGTGTGGTTTCAAATCAGGAAAAGGGTGAGTCAGGGTTGTATCCTTTTACCACACTTATTCAGTGTGTATGCTGAGCAAATAATCCGAGAAGCTGGGCAATATGAAGAAAAATGCAGCAGCAGGATTGGAGGAAGACTCATAACAACCAGTGATATGAAAACAACACAACCTTGCTGGCAGACAGTGAGGATGACTTGAAGCACTTATTGATGAAGATTAAAGACTACAGTCTGCAGTATGGACTCCACCTCAACATAAAGAAAAAAAAAAAAATCCTTGCAACTGGACCAATAAGCAACATCATAAAAAATGGAGCAAAGACACAAGTTGTCAAAGATTTCATATTACTTGGTTCCACAATCAACACCAATGGAAGCAGCGGTCAAGACATCAGACGACATATTGCACTGGGCAAATCTGCTGCGAAAGACCTCTTGAAAGTGTTAAAAACCAAAAATGTCATTTTGAGGACTAAGGTGCACCTGGTCCAAGTCATGGTATTTTCAGTTGCCTCATATGCATGTAAAAGGTTGACAATTAATTAGGAAGATAGAAGAATTGACAGCTTTGAATTATGGATTTGGCAAAGAATATTAAATATACCATGAACTGCCAGGACAACAAACAAATCTGTCTTGGAGTACAGCCAGAATCCATCCTAGAAGCAAGGATGGCAAGACTACATCTTACATACTTTGGACATGCTATCAGAAAGGATCCATCCCTAGAGAAGGACATCTCTAATGTTTGATGAAGCAGAGGGCCAACAAAAAAGAGAAAGACCTTCCACAGGATGGACCAACACAGCGGCTGTAACAATGAGCTCAAATACAGCAACAATTATAAGGACGGCACAGGACTGAGAAGTGTTTCGTTCTACTGTCATAGGGTTGCTATGCCTTGGAACCAACTCAATGGCACCTAACAACAGCAACAACTATGTACATCCAGCACCTGTCAGTGTGTCCCACTGTGGGGCTTCATGCCGCTGTGAGGCTGGAAGCTATGGCAACAGTAGCTCAGATACCAGCAGGGTCACCCATGGTGGGCAGGTCTCAGTGGAGCTTCCAACTGAGACAGACCAAAGAGAAAGATCAGGAGATCCGTTTCCAAACATTAGGCAACAACAACCTCATGGCTCACAGTAGAAGGCTGACACAAATACGCCACCTCTCATGAAGACAGTGCAGGGCCAGGCAAGGTGTGCTGCATTATACATGGGTCACCATGAGTAAGAGCCAAGTGAATGGTAGTAACAGGGATGGCTACCATACACAGGAGCATCACCCTGCGGCCAAGATGGCCACTGTACCCATGATGAGGACGGCCCCGTACACACGAGCGTGTGTCACCTCATGTTTGGGGTCTATTGAAAAATAGCATTTCGTCTTAATCATTGACTGAAATAATAACAACTCACTGCCATCTAGTCAATTCTGACTCTCAGTGACCCCCAGTGGGTTTCCTAGGCAGTAAATCTTTATGGAAGCTGTGACAGTTGGGGTTGTGTGTCAACTTGGCTGGACCATGATTCTGAGTGGTTTAAGCAGTTGTGATGTGGGTTATTCCCATGATGAGATCAGATGTGTATGTTTTGAGCAGCCAATCCACTCAAAGGGAGGTTCCCTGGGGGTGTGGCCTGCTTCCAATACATTTATGGACATCCTGGGAAAAAGACAGAACCTTCTGTGAATCGGGATCCTGTTGTGCTGCCTGCAACTGTCCCTGAGTGAATATCCACCATTCAGCTTAGAGATCTTGAACTTGGTCATTAGTTGGAGTCAACAGCTGGTATATTGCCTGCCAACCTTGACCTCATCAGCCCCTGCAGCTGCGTGAGTCGGGAAAAGCCTCCAGCTTGCCATCTGATCCAGCAACTTGGGACTTGTCAGTTTCTATAACTGTGAGCTATTTCCTAAGATAAATTTCTCTCTCTCTCTCTCTCTCTCTCTCTATATATATATATATACCCACCAGCCACTCCCCGGAAGGAAGATGGGGCAATCTACTTCCGTAGTGATACTGCCTCGGAAACCCAAGGAGGGGTCGCTATGGGTCGGGTCTGACTCAACGGCACATAACAACAACAACATATATATATATATACATACACGCATATAAGCTTTACTGGTTTTGCTTCTCTAGAGAACCCACTCTAACACTGAAGTAGATTGCCCCATCTTCCTTCTGAGAAGTGGCTGGTGGGTTTGAACAATCTTCTGGTCAGTGGACAAATGCCTTATCCATTATGCCAACAGATCTCCTTAATCATTACCTACTAACGGATTAAGTTATACAAGCTTTCATTTCTGAGAATTTTTCTGAAAACAGCTCTTGAGATTATCACCACCTCCCTCAAGGAGACACGCCAATGCTTGTAGGTGAATGCAATTGCAAATTACAGACTGTTTAGGTCTACAAAAGCGGTAACAGCACTGTGAGTACTACAAATACGATGGCATCAATGACGTAGGCTGTGGTTCTGCTCCCCCCCCGTGGTTTGAGGCACTGTGCCCGCTGGTAAGTCCGATGTATCTTGTGTCTCATCTAATGTCTACACAGTATGATTTCTGATCAAAGAGCAGTGAATTCAGTAATATGGCCCTTCTTGCCATAGTCTTTATAACTCCCACTAAATGGTTGGGTGGCGTAATGCCTAAGGCATTTGACTGCTAACCAGAAGGCTGGCGGTTCAAACCCACCAGCCACTCCTCAGAAGGAAGACTGGGCAGTCTACTTCCATACAGATACCGCCTCGGAAACCTGAGGAGGGGTCACTATGAGTCGAAATCGACTCAACGGTATTGA